TAAAAGGTAAAACATATTAAAGCTTCTTGAAGAAAATAAAAAAGAAGATCTTCATAATCTTGGGGTACAAAAAGATTTCTTAAACAGCATTAACTAAAACAACAACACAACGACGAAGAAACTGTACTTCAGAAAAATTAAGAAACTGTCTTCATAAAAAGACAATATTGAGGAAAAAAAGGCATGAACTGGGAGAAGATATACGCAACACATAAATCCAACAGGGAGCTCACATTCAGAAGCCATATTAAGAAGTCCTATACATAATTAAAAAAATGAAAGACAACAAAATTAAAAATAGGCAAGACTTGAGCAAGGAACGTCAGGAAAAGGGGATACCCAAACTGCCAATATAAAGCTAAAGAAGTGCTCAACATCAATAGTGCCCAGAGAAATGCAAATTAAAACTAGAATGATGTATCACAATACTAGAAGACTAAAACTGAAGATTGACAATTCCCAGCATGGCAAAAATGTAGAGTACCTGGAACTCTCATTACCATTGAGACCACAAACCAATATAACAACTTTGGTCAACTGCATGGATTTAGCTACTTAAGCTAAACACATGGAAAGCCTACAACCCAGCAATTTCACTCCTGAGTGTACATGTCCATCATAAAACATATCCATGAGTACTCACAGCAGCTTTGTCTTGACACCCAAAACCTAGAAACAGAAATGGCTATCAATGACAAAATGAACTAACTTTGGCATATTGATACAATGGACTACTACACAGCAATGGGAAAGAATAAACTGCTGCTAAATGCAAAAATGAAGATAAATCCCATCCCTGTAATGATAAGAAAGAAACCAGACACAAGCGTACATACTACACAACTAAAGTCTAAAAACAGGCCAAACTTATCTACGGTGAGAGACATCAAAAGGGTGGTATCTGGAGATGGTGGCAGGAACTGACTAGACAGAAGCACAGGAGCACTGTCCAGCACTCTAGTACAAATCTTGTTCTTATACATTCTTTTGTAAAAATATAACCAATATTTGTGCACTTTGCTAAATACCTCAATTTAATGAAAAAGGAAACCCAGTTGGTCCCTTTGATTATCAATTCCACTTCAGAGAATTTGTCCCACAGATGCTCAACTAAATGTGTGAAACGACACTGTACAAACCACTAGAAACAAACACAATGGAGAAATATCTAAATAAAGTATGGTAGAAACATAATATTCAGAGACAAGAGAGAATGAGGAAACTCGTATATTGATTTGAGAGGATTTCAGAAAGGAGACTTAGCAGAGGGATTATTAACACAGATTCCAAAATGACACTGTGAATTCAAATCCCATTACCAACACTAGCTTTGTGAGCATGGCATTTAACCGCTCTGTGCCTCAGTTTCCACATTTGTACAATGGGGGTGACGACAGTACTTATACCTCATGAGGCTGTCATAAGAGCTGAGTAACTGAATGTATATAAAGACATCAGAAGAGTGGCTGACACATAAGTACTTAATCAAGATTGGTCACCACTACCACCATCATCATCCTCTTCTTTAAGATACATCATCACCATCATAGTTAAGATATGTTGCTCTATAGAAAAAAGCATGGTTTAGGACAGTGTATGTAGCATGCAACCTTTGTGCAAAAATGCAACAAAAATAGGAACATATATTCATTTTTGTTTCCATAAACACGAGGGTCTCCCTTAATAATATGTGAGAAACAAATAGTAGTTACTTATCAATGTGATGTGAGAGATGGGGAGGACTTCCAGCCTTCACTGTATGTTAATGTGTAGAAATAAATAAAACATTACATCCACGTGATTATAGTACTTCTTTTAAAACTATTTAAACAAAAACATCACTAGCAACTCTGTTCAGTTACAGAATAAATGATATCAAAGTTGCTTTGAATGCCATTCTAATCTATAAAATGACATGTTAAGATGGTATTCAGCATGTTTTATATAAACAAAAGCAAAAGAATCACTAGAAAAATGAATGAATGCTCTCTAGTTTCATGTTTTTAGCTGAACACAATAACAAAAAAGGAATCAATGTATATAAATTACCTTATCTTCATCACTAGTGATTAAAGTATTAAGTACGACATAGTTTGAACCTAATCATTACCCCACTTTCTATTCAGTTTTCTTTGTTTTTCCTACAGACACCAGCTCCTGTGAATCTTCCTGCCCCACCTGGCTATCTCAGATCATATCATTCAAGCAAACCTAATTTCTGCTTAATTTTTTTTTCTGGTTCCCAGTGAGACCTTAGTAAACTCAGACTTATGAACAAGTATATTATTTATGTCTCATTTTTTCAAAATTCAAAACTCTTAAAATCAGATAAAGGAAAGTTTTATGGACTATATCCCAAGACAGGAATTTAGACTTACCATATAAAATGATATATTAAGACGGTATTCAAGAAAAATAGGATTTTATCAATTTTTAAAAGCTTAATATAAAGAAAAAAGATAATGCTTTCTAATTTGCTTTCTAATTTCTAAAAGCTATTTCTTCAATCCTAAACGTAACTTTAACTACTTAAAAGTGTGTATAATTTCATTAACTTTTTCTTTATGTTTTATTAGCAACTAACTCCCAAGCAGTAACTTTAATTTTGTCAACAATTTCAAATACATTTTTCTTTGCTGCCCCTAGATGGCACAGTTACATTTAAGAAAAGGAAAAAGTCTTTGAAAATAAATAGAAAAAAAATCTTAGTACCACCGTATTTTAGCTTTAAAGAATTGTGTATTACATTTTTTAAGAGATTAAAAGTCTGAAAGATAAAAGAATAGCTTATTCCTTCCATAAAAAGGATTATACTAATTTAAATAGTTTAGAAGAACAGCTAGGAAGTTCAAAAATAGATGCTTTAAACCGGCATTAGATTAAATAAAAATAAAAGTTTCACAGGGTGCAATATTATAGCGAAGGCTTATAAAATGCATTTTTGTGTATGTTTTGTGTTTCATTTATTTTGCTCAATTTTTTCTTAACTATTATATAAATTTCTGACAATGTTGAATATTATTTCTCCTCAGTACATCACAGTTTATTTTATACTCAAAATCTGAATGAGAAAATACTTTCAAAATGGAAGAGAAAATACCACATACTTTAACACTTCATGCATTAATTCCAGAGGTGGCAGTGGCTCATGCCTATAATCCCAGCACTTTGTGAGCTTGAGGCAGGTGGATCACTTGAGTCCAGGAGATCAAGAGCAGCCTGGGCAACACGGTGACACCCTGTCTCTACTAAAAATACAAAAATTAGCTGGGTACTGTGGTGCATGCCTGTAATCCCAGCTACTCAAGAGGCTGAGGTAAAAGAATCTCCTGACCCTGGGAGGTAGAGGCTTCAGTGAGGCGAGACTGCATCACTGGACTCCAGCCTGGGCAACCGGAGTGAGACTCCGTCTCAAAAACATAAAAAATAAATAAAAGGTGACTACACAATAATAAAATGTGAACTTACAGAAACCAGATTCAGGCTTACAGAAATCAAGACATCTTCCATTTAGAAAGAGAATCAGAATCATAAACTGTCAACACTAAAGTTAATCCTAATTGAATAAAGGGCCTATACAAATATAGCCAAGTCTAACCAGCGTAGAATTCACCCACTGTCAGCTGGGCCAGATAACATATATGCTTAAGTATGTTGCTTACACTTGTATAAAATGCTCAATTATGTCACTGTAAAGATAATCCCTTTACCCTGATAAATAACCTATTCACCTTTCTGCTTGCTTGACCAGTGTACCAGGTAAGATATAAGTTGAATTGAAAAAACAAAAACAAAAACAAAACAAAAAACAAGAGCCAAAGAAAATTATTTATAATTCACGCTTACTTCAAGATCATTTCTAGTGCTAAACGTTATTTTTTCAAAGAAAGAAAAATTCATGAAATGTAAAATATATCATGATTCAAGGTATTTAGCGCTTTGATAAAACATTTTCTAGAAAACAGATTTACAGCTGGGAATCAGAAATAACGTAGAAGTTCCTCACACCCAGAGTAACCTCAAACCATTCCTGGGAAATGTCTTTCACATGCATTAGTAATTCCTTCCACTATACTCTAAATATACTCCATGATGTCAGTATTTATAATACTTACAATACAAAATAAGAACTAGCATGGTTTATTTCATAATTATCTGCTCAGGAGTCAGATTCATTTAGAGACCTCATTAATAAAAACACTTGCTCTTGTACATTAATAATTGTTATTTTACTCCCAAAAAATTACAGGTTGAGTATCCCTAACCCAAGAATCCTAAATCCAAAATGTTCCAAAATCTAAAACTTTTCAAAGAAAATGCTCCTTGGAGGATTTCAGATTTTTGAATTAGGAATGGTGAACTGGTAAGTATAATGCAAATATTCCAAAATCGGAAAAAATTCGAAATCCAAAACATTTTTGGTCCCAAGCATTTAAGAGATAAGACTTAACCTGTAATAAGCGCTAACAGTGGCAAATAACAGAAAACAACACTAGACTGATTGGCATTAAAACTGAAAAGACATTCTTTGTGTCGATACTGTCACTTGCAATGACAAAAATGAAATTATCATGATTAATTCTAAATTCAAATAGAGTCTAACAATTACAACATGTAGTGGGAAACAGTGCTAGATTGCAAAGTAGGAAAATGTTCTTTCACTACTCACTGTGTATCCTTTGGCAAATGAAATCACTCCTTTTGGGCAGAGGGAATCTGACCGTATAAACAGTCTCTCCAAGTTTTACGGTCAAAGATTAGCTGAACTGATTGACTTATAAAGTTGATTTAAAATTCCTATATACCAAATTCAATCCCATATATTTCACTTGGTAGTAACTTAATTTCCCTTTAAAGTCAGAATTAGAACACATATCATCTCATATAATCAAAGGAAGCAAATTATGTTAAAAATTAAAAAAAAATACTTCATTTGAACTTAATTATGCATAGGAAAAATTTAGAATAGTGTTTATGCATAAAGTTAACAACTGCCATACCATTAAAACTGCATAGTTACTAAGGGAGTAGCACTGAATTGTAGTGATATTTTCATCTGAATAGAGTATATGGCACCCATCTGACTTCCAGCCTCCTTGTCCGTTCAGCAAATCGAAATCCCACCGGGCTGCAACAGCATCTGCTCCATGTGCAATTCGACGCAGCGTCACATTAACAGGTATGTGGTGGGTATCTACATTCACACCATCTGGAGAAAATGGAAAATAAAAGTATTTCTGAAACAAACTTCATAAACAATTATAAATGTCAACTTAAACAGTAATGGGTACTCCGCAAGATCTTTTTTCGCTAGTGACTCATTAAAACGAGAAAACACTAAAATAAGCATTTTTAGGAACAGTCAACTGTAAGGCCTTATTGTCCACTGACTACAGGAGAACATATGCCGCATACAAACCTATTTTGGTGAGAATCACAGGGGTAACTACAGTGCGTCGTTTTCCGTCATCAGCCAAATTAGTTGAATTTCCAGTGGCTGGAAAAAGCTTTCCATTGCGGAATGCAATGAGTTGAAGCTTGTAAAGAGAGTCATCAGTTGGTCTGAGTTCTCTTTTTTGCTTTGGTGAGAAAAGGGAAGGAGGAAGCTGAATAGAAGCCTCCACAATAGTATTCTGGAAAAAAAAAAAAAAATTTATATATATATAAAAGCTCACTACATTAGTACATGTAAACCAGAAAAAAGATGTCAGATAGTTACAAAAGTGGTCTAATTAGGTTGGCTTCATTTTCTTAATTGTATATACAAAATTTAATAGTTAAAAAAAATCATCAGTCAAGTGACATGTCAACACCACATAACAACACAGATTAAAAGAAGTATAAAATAGAAATGCAAACTCTAAAGAGTTAAATAAGTAAACAAGAAAAGTGTTTCAAATTACAAAGTTAATTTTCCCATGATATTATATGTTGAAGTAGATGGCATTAAACAGATCAAGAATCTCAATCACGCTGTATCAATTTTACAATGATAAAATATGATAAAGAAGCACAAATGTAACATATCACAAATGTGAGTATAATTAATTTGGGCTTATGGAACTTTAAGGTGATTTATGATGAATTCAAACTGTCACACAACAAAAGAATGAAATTATACAAACATAATAGAGGTTTAGATTCAGTACACTTAGCAGAAATTTCCTTGAGACTAGGAAACACAATTAGAAAAAAATAATAACAACACATAGGAACAATTGAAAATGCTGACGGATGACTGAATGTTTTTCAGTTTCTTTATTGAGGATTTTTAAATAATAAATTATTCAGCATTCAGTAAAAAAATCTATACCAAGAAGTGAACAATTAACCATCTAAAAACATTCCATAGTTGAAGAATTTATTACACAATCTTTCTCTTGGCCTCTAACTTCTCTTCTTCCAATTCCATATTCACCAGAATTTCCCCTTAAGAAACAAATCATGTTATTCCAGTTTAAATAACACCTTGGTTCTGCAATGTTTAAATAATACTAAGCCCAAATCCTAAGTTTACCATATAATTTGATGAAAATCTATTGCTTAGATGTATCCCCTGAACACTCCTATAGCACAACCTAAAATACAGCTAAACTGGGTTTTCAATTTAAGTTATCCTATATTCTTTTTATGCCACCATGCTCGCTGCACAGACCAGTATCTCAACCTGAAATGCTCCACTATTCTTTTGTCTCACAAACTTTTGAATTGGTGTAAATGGAAAGTGGATTAGAATGAAAAAGGTTAGGCCAGGCGCAGTGGCTCAAGCCTGTAATCCCAGCACTTTGGGTGGCCCAGACGGGCGGATCACGAGGTCAGGAGATCGAGACCATCCTGGCTCACACGGTGAAACCCCGTCTCTACTAAAAAAAACACGAAAAAGTAGCCGGGCGAGGTGGCGGGCGCCTGTAGTCCCAGCTACTCGGGAGGCTGAGGCAGGAGAATGGCGTAAACCCGGGAGGCGGAGCTTGCAGTGAGCTGAG